CGAAATATTTTCCAACTCTGCGTGCAATCGACACTCAGTGCCACCGATCGATCAGCTGGTCGCGAAATCGTGAAACAAAGCGATGAAATATCCGTTTCTTAACTGCTTGATTCACATAAGTTCTTCCATTTCCCAGGCTCATACGCAGGTGCTGACGTTACAGACGAACTATTTGGTCTTATTTTTCAAAAAGAATTCCAGGGTATTTAGTGGCTTGCACCCACGCTTTAAGGAGTGAATTTGACACTTTTATATTCGCGTCATTTCTTCAGCGCTATTCTTTCTATAATCCTGGGATATTTCACCGCAGTTTATTTGATTCGGGAACCAGATTCGCTACGCTTTAATTAACGGTTACGCAGGTCACACTTTACGAGATAGAGCTTTTAGTTCCGCTTCAGAGACACTTTAAATTAAGTTCTTTTAAGATTAAAACGATGGGCAAATTCGTTCAAGATTGTAGAAGGCAGTGGTAATTTTTTCCATCCATAGAACTGGCCGGAATACAGGGAAGAGGAAATTCTTAGTTTCCAGAGAGGTTGGCAAGCAAACCAAATATCAAAAGATGGATATAAAAATATTGCTGAATCACTGATCAATACCGAAAGGCATTATTTAAGATCTGTACTGCACCTGCATATGTGGACTTCGACTAATTATGGGCTGGTGGATGCCACGGTACTTATGAATTGATAAAAGGATCATTTTCATATTAATTACGAAATACCAGTCCAACATGGAACAGTTTTCCTCTAAACTAAATATGTCTGTCTCGTACGAAACGATAAAATGAAATGTTTTAACCACACGGTCCCCGTTTGAAACGTTTCTGGCTCCAACGGCTGGTAGGCGCCAGCTGGCACACCGTTGTTCTCAAACATCCTGACCAAAAAATAATCAGATAATATATCCAAGTGCATAATTCCGTATATTTAGATTTTAGATGAATGAGAAAAGACAGCGAGGATTTCTTACGTGGCTTCAGTAACTAATTGACCGGAGCGAAGCGAAGGTCTTCCTAATTCACTTCCAATGCATTGCTTCACTTGTGTCCGTTACGGAAGTGCGAAGCATGACGTCATCGCGGGCAAGCTGGATGACGTCATGTCGTCCACGATGACGTCATGGTACCGTAGAGAACGTCATGGTACTGTAGAGGCGTTTTGCAATGCGTCACTTGTGTCCGTTACGGAAGCAGTGCAAAGCATGACATCATCTCGGTCAAGCCGGCTTTACGCCGTGGTCCTGTACAGCAGTTTGGCACTGCTTCACTTGTGTCCGTTACAAAAACATTCATTCTATGATTTCTGTATATTCACGTAGCAACCTGTGTCCCAGTGTTAGACATACATGTGTGAAATGTACACACACAGTGCAGTACAGTACAGTACAGTGCAGTGCAGTACAAGGAAAAGCACGTGCAAAAAAAAGTATTGTAGGTATTTATGACCATGATACAAAATAAAAACAACAACAAAGTGTATTGCGTACTAAATAAGGAATTTTTAAAAAAGCAAAGTTTATCACTGCGTACTCCTGAACTTCAATGGCACTCAAACGAAAGCTCCATCTGTCTCCCGAAACTGGGTCCAAAAAGAAACGGGGAAGAGGAGCACGATCACGTAAGAACAATGTTATGTCAAGTTTTTGTAATTTATACTGAAAATTTGCATGGATTCGACTCTAGGGTCTTCAGTTCCTCCCGTTAGAACGGGTGTCTCTCCTAGAACACGGATGAGGGAATATCGAGCCCGAGCAAACAGCAGACGCAGAGAAAACGAACGTTTGAGAAAGGCGGCTCAACGTGCAAACGAAACACGCTCCCAGCGATCGGAACGCCGTCGCCGAAATCGACAGAGGGCCACCACCTCAGCTGCTCAACAAACAGACAGCGGAAGAACACGACGCACTGAAAGGTCACGCATGCAGCATCTCATGAATCGCCGAGCAAATGCTGAGCAAGGAAGGTTGTTGCTCTTAGAGAACCACATGGCGACATTGAAATGGAAAGAATGTGTTGTGTGTAAGGAATCTTGGCCGAATCTGAAATTGGACCCTACGGGCAGGTGTAATCAGTGCAAATCTCAAAATCCCAAGTTTTCTGCTGCTAACAACATGGATCCGGGAGAAGTACCCGCAGAGCTAAAAGATTTGACGTTCGTTGAAGAGCAACTAATAGCCAGAATACATCCTGTTTTATCAGTTTTTAAAGTCGGCAGAGGACAGCAGCTAGCGTATTCGGGAAACGTTGTTAACTTCCGACGGGATGTAATGGCATTTGCAAGAACTCTCCCCCATAATCCATCTAAACTGCTCTCCGTAATAATAATTATTGTGAATCGCAAGGACACAGATAACTATGCCATCTTCAATGTATCCGGAGTAAGAATTCGCCGAGCGCTACGCTTTCTGAAGAGAAATAACCCGTGGTATCATGACATTATAATTGATGAAGGAGCGTTATCGCAGATTCCGCCAAGCGGTAATCTCCATTCTCAACTACCTAACCTCCCTGGCGAAACCAATGCAGCATTATTCACTTCTGCGGATGATCGAGTACATGACACTGGAGTTCCCCTGTTACAGCATGTCAGGCAATCCGATCAAATATACGAAACTGTTGGTGTTGACATTCCCACTGTGCCCTATCCTCAGTTATCTGCTGAGCCTGTTGACGAGTTCCAAACTGCCGGATACATAGCATGCTCGTTCCCAAGCCTGTTTCCTTGGGGAAAGGGGGATCTGCGCGATTTAAGAAACAGGAAGCAAAAGGTCACAGAAGCGGAATATTTTAAGCACCTCATGAGGTATCGGGACAGACGGTTTGCAGAACATCCAACTTTCCGATTTTTTGCAGTTAACAGCCTTATGAGGTGGCAAGCACTGCGGGTCGGACAAATTTTTGTTAAGAAAAGCACACTGGGTGCAATAACAATCGGTGAACTACGCCACCGGCTACAAGAGACGCCAACGCTAATAAATCAGATAACAAACTTTGGATCTAATTTAAGGGGAACGCGCGCATATTGGATGAAGCGAAGCGGGGAGTTAAGTGACATGGTGAAATCCCTAAAAATGCCTACACTTTTTTTTACGCTATCTGCTGCTGATTTGCACTGGCCGGAGTTATACGAACTGATAGCACCAGACACAGATTTCACAGAAATCTCCGCTGCCGAAGCAACCAAACTGCGCTCAAAGCTGCTCCAAAACAATCCATTAATTGCGGACTGGTTTTTTTGTCAAAGAGCGGAATACTTCATTCATAAAGTAATGCAGCAAAAATTCAACATAAAAGACTACTGGTATCGCTATGAATTTCAACACCGAGGAAGCGTCCACTTACACGGGTTGCTGTGGCTAGCGGATGCTCCTGATACCGAAAATTTAGACAGCATGAATGCTGCAGGCCGTCAAGTTATCATCGACTACTTTGACTCTCTTGTTACCGCCATAAATCCTGAACCCAACGAACAGCCTCCCAATTTTCACCCTTCAGACGTCAAATTGTCCGCGGTTGCAGACCCAGAAGGTGATTATGCGAATCTCGTGACTAAACTTGAACGACATACCGTGTGTCGACAAGGAGCCTGTCTCAGGAAAAAGAAAGGAAGAGAAGTGTCGGTATGATTATCCAAAAGAAATACAAGAACTTTCACGCCTAGAGAAAACAGACGGAAAGTGGACGTTTTCCCATAAGCGTAACGATCCCCGTGTTAATCGGCACAACAAGTTCTGCCTGCGTGTTTCGAGGGCAAATATTGATTTCTCTCCAGTTGTGGATAAGTACGCAGTGCTTAATTACGTTGTGCAAAGTATGCCTCGAAAGCGGAACCGCGATCAGATACATATGCAGGCATTTTGCAAGGAATACTTCAGTCTGCCCCTTCCGATTCAGACCCCGGAAAAAAGGCAATTCAGAAACTTTTAATGAAATCCGTTTCCGAAACAGACTTTTCGGCACAAGAGTGCTGCCACCTTCTCATCGGAAACAGCCTGTATGGAAGTTCTCGGATATTTATAACTTTGGTCTTGAAATCGGACGAATGGGTGCCAGTCGCGGAAATTGAAGACGAAAATCTCCGTCAGGCAGAACACAAAACTATCCTCCAGAAATACGCGGCCAGACAGCCCGATCATGAAATACTTCCGCTATGGAAAATTGCGACACAGTATTCGTGGAGTAAAAATGGGTGGAAAAAACGAACTCGTGGAAAAGACTGCATTTTGCGTTTGTTTCCTAGATTGTCGTTAAAGGATGATCCACTGAAAACTCCGAATACTATCGACAACAAGTAATTCTTCAATTGCCCTGGCGTGATATTGACGAATTTCAGTTAAGCGGAACATGGCAAGAAATTTACGAGTCACACGGTTTGTTACCCAAGTGCACAACGCCTGAAGATGATGACACTGAATCAGCCGACGACAGTGATAATGAGACTGTAGAAGGCCATGAAATCGGTAATGAACAGGATGAATATATGGTGCTTCAGGGATATGGGCCACAAGCACCAGTTCCAGTCGTAGAATTAGGCACTCGCCAAATAGACCGCGATCATGACTGGACCGCCGCGTATCATTTATATGCGGATATGGACACCGCTGACAGTTTCATCGAAAGGTCACGGACAAACAACGATGCCGTTGATGGCCCTGCTGCAGCGCCCACTGTGCAGCTATCGGCAGAACAAGCAGCTGTCTTGAATTTCTTTAAGGAACAAATCAGCAACCGGGTGGTTCAAAAATGTTGCATTGTTCAAGGAAAGGCTGGCAGTGGAAAGTCAGTGTTAATTTCACACCTAATACATACCTTAACGACTGATGTGCAACATGGACCTGGGTCTTATCTGCTCCTTGGACCAACTGGCGTTGCCGCTGACAACATTTCTGGACAAACAATACATTCCCAACTGAGAATACCGGTTAACCGCCCTTTCAAGGAATTAGAGGGAGAAGAACTTCATCGATTTCAGGAAGATTTGTCAGGAGTCAAATGCATGATAATCGACGAATACAGCCTCATTGGGTGCTCCTTGTTGGGTAAAATCGACAGACGATGCCGGCAAGCTAAGCCTGACCAATGTCATTTACCTTTTGGTGGTCTCATTGTTTATCTCTTTGGCGATATTAAGCAGTTGCCGCCTGTACTTGACCGACCATTATATGGAGACGGTTATAAAAGCGAGCTTGCGGACCATGGACAGTTAGTCTACAGAACCGCATTTACGAAAGCGTTCATACTCGTAACCTCCCAGCGGCAAAAGGGAAGTGATCCCGAGCAGCAGCATTTTCGGGACGCCTTGGATCGCATTAGTACGGGTGAATCAACGGAAGAAGATTATCAAAAAATTATGTCCAGAAACTACGGAATGATGCCCGATGAAGAACGAGAAAGCTTTCGGAGTGCGATACGGCTGTTTACCGAACGGGATCAAGCAAAACAGTACAACATCAAAGCCTTAACCGATTTGCGCATGCCCGTCGCAAAAATTCGGGCTAAGCATAACACTGAATCAGTGTCCAGAGGTACTTTTTTTGCAATTTCGACGTTTTTTTTAAAATTTATTTATGTGATTGTAGGCGGAGACCAGCAAGCCATGGGCTTAGAACAAACCCTTTACCTATCACGAGGATCCCGTGTAATGTTAAAACGAAATATCTGGACCACGAAAGGACTCGTTAACGGAGCATTAGGTTATGTCCGCGATATCGTCTACGCTCCAGGAACAACTCCTGAGGACTCTCTACCGGTGGCGATTATGGTGGAGTTCGATAAATACAGTGGCCCTACTGTAGGAAACAACTGCATTCCCATCTGTTCTTTGACGGCTCAATGGACCGACCGTGGCCGGAAGCACACCCGAACGCAGTTCCCATTGTCACTTGCCTGGGCGCTTACTATTCACAAGGCTCAAGGGATTACATGTGAAAAGGCCGTGATCAATGTCGGACTGCGGGAGTTTGCTTCCGGCCTGATATATGTCGGATTGTCAAGAGTGAAATCGTGGAGTGGACTGGCTATCGAGCCGACTTTTCCTTTTTCACTTCTAAGCGCAATCAAGTCAAAAAAAGCTACGGTTCAAAGACTGAAAGAAGAGCAGCGGCTCAAAAGTTTAGCCTGATGAGCTGTGCAGTGTTTCTTGCATGTAGACCAGCAATAATTTACCAAAAAAAGGCCAATAAAGTTTTGTGGACGCTATACAATTTGTTTAACAACATGTCCAACCGCTTCGCTCCGGTCTGCTAAGGCACGCCAACGTGCATTTTTCTAGTAAAACAAGTACAACTCTCCTATCCTCAGCGGCACCTTTCCAAGGCAAAAAGTTTGGCTTTTTGTTAGTCAGTCCAGCGAAGAAGTGAATTCCGAATGAGAACAGTTTAATCAGAATGTGCTTTCCCATGTCCCATTGAACAACTAGGGTGCATGCTCGCAGCACCCTCACCAGCCTACTGGTGAGGGCCGCGTCTGGGATCTTTGCGCTGCAAATCAGCTTATTCGTCAATGACAATGTATTCAGTGCTGCTCAAGTTTTCTTGGAATTTTCGAAGCTTCTCAAAGGCAACCTTGCGGCGTTGCGCAGAGGTTTATCCCCTTCGAAGGATTGTGGAATTTCAAATGTATTATTTGATCTTTCACTAAAAAAGCTACCACTCCGGATGGTCACAAAAATGGCTTTAGGGATAGACAATATAAACAAAGAATAAGCCATCATTCCAACAATGCGCAATGCTCGAGCAAATTTTTCCTTTTGTCCAAAAAAAATTTTCACCGATAACGGAATGGAACTTTGCAATAAAGTAACTGATCAGATAAATATTATTGGTGCTCTATATTCGGCATTTTCATTTTTCACCGTTCCATAGTCAATTTAACGCGCCGGTAGAGCGCCAGAATTGATCTGTTCAAGGAATTATCTCCAGACTCCTGGTGCTCGTATATTTCACAACATCATAAGGATTGACATTCGATTTATGTGCTTTACGGGGTGTACGTCCTGACGTCCATAATTTATCGACCCTTTTCCCATTTTTCGTCATTTTCGGGCGTGAAACTAGCTCCCGGTTGACCTTATCTTCCCCACCAAACCCGAACCTTTTGAACAGTCTCAGGATCGTTCGTTATTCTATAACAATTAATCAAAGCAAGGCATCATCTATAACGTTGGAGATTTAGTGCTTCTTCACAAATCTACGTTCAAGCAAAAAACAGCCCGGAAATTTTCTACGGTTTTTTTTACTGATCCGGATTCGAGGCTACAGACGGTTTTTCAAAATAACAGCCGATTCTCATAGGGCGGAATTTGCTAAGGTAGGCATACTGTCAGAATAAAGGAAGAAACACTTATGTAGTAAATAAAATATATATTATGATAAACAAATCTGTAGTTATAACCACTATAGATTAACGCATGGCAAGTTTCCGTTTGGGTAGCACAAACGATGTTCGAAAGTTATTTTCCGCTTGATTCTGTCTCTGTAGTCGGCATTTTACGTCGAGCCGAGTGCTTCTTTGTGTGCCACCCGGCATCTGTCCGCTCATGGCAACCATGGTCCAGCGATTGGAATGTGTACAGACCACACCTGGGCAGTTATGGAAAATGCAACCACCGTTAGAGTTACGAGTTACAGGTAGAGATGTCAAAAACCGAACCGAACCGTTTGGAACCGCGGTTCAACCGGTTCGGTTCGGTTCGGTTGGGCGTTCTTTAAACCGCGACTTTTCTTGTAACCGAACCGTTTGAGTCGGTTAGAGGTTAAGTCGAACCGAAAATAACCGGTTAACCGCGGTTCTTTTCGGTTCTTTGTTACTAGAGATATTGCGCGATTCAAGTATTACGTAACGACTCAGGGGTGGGGGTGGGTCCGTGGCGTTACCCGCCCATAAGTAATACATGAATAAAGGTCACAAAAGGGTGGAGGGTGGTCGAAAAAGTGGAAAATGTCCGTTACGTAATACTTGAATCGCGCCTAATGACGTTGTGGTATGACGAATTTCTGCTGTCTTAAACAGTAATCCATAAATATGAAGGAGACGCGTACCGGCGTACAGTACTGGTCTCTGAGTAAAATCGTTTCATTACACGCTACGCTCAAACTCTGAGCGCATGCGTGCGCAGTGGGACAGTTGTACAGCCGGCACTCTAATATAATTTCTTGGTTTCGGTTCCAACCGGTTCGGTTCGGTCACAAGTGACTTGGCGCTGTAACCGAACCGGTTTAAGATGACCCGTGCTTTGGAACCGTTAGAACAAAGTGACTTCGACGTCAAGTCGAACCGCTTATGGAACCGAACCGAACCGGTCGAACCGTTGACATCTCTAGTTACAGGTAGCGTGCGAGTTACGCTACGAGTTACGCTATTTATGCAAGTAAAACCGAGCTTCGAGTTATACCGCGAGTTACGCTACCATAGACAATGTATACAAATTTCTGGCGAGTTACGTTAGAGTTAAGTTTTTTGGGTAGCGAGTTATGCTACAGAGTTACGTTAAAACTCGATAACGCGCAAATAACTCGCGTTGTAGGGCTGGCCCCACCCGCCTATGCATATGCTCTATGGGAACGGAACACAGCACTCTACTGGGCTTTATACACAACACACTGCCTACTCTGCTCCCACACAACAGAGCCGGCCGCCCTGTTATAGGAGCGAGCCGGTAAAAATGGAAAGATCCCGCTGACGTCTATGGACGTCAGCGGTGAAAAACAATACACGTACATGTACAGAGCACGCCGGGATCATGCATCCCCGGCGTGATATCGATCCACTACGGGCACACAACGCCAACGGGCACATACCGTCTGTAGGGCGAAACCCTACAGACTGCCCTTCTTCTAGAAACACACACAATAAGAGAGAGAGAGAAGACAAAGTTACACAGGGAATAAATAATAGACAGAGTAAATTAATAATACAGTTATGAAAACAACAAGTAAGAAGAAGAATAGTAATAGGAGACGAAGTCACGGTTCAGGCCGTAAAAACTTCCAAAACCGTCCTGGGGAAAATACTGTACTATGACGAACGATGAAATGTGAATATCCTTTATTAATAATGATCTTATGCATAATCGTCTTGGATGTGGTTTAAGTCCAGATTGATGGAATCGTTAGGTGGCATGGATTTTTCCTCTTGGTTCTGTTGTTGGCTGTGGTCCAGATTTCCAATCGATGAAACTTTGGATGGAATGTCCGTGGTAGTCTCTTTCTGACGCTTTTGAATGTGTACAACGGATTTTATGGCCGTTTGTTTGCGCTTCTTGGGCATGGTTGTTGTCGGAATGCTTGTTAGCGTTGACTCCTTCAGGACTGCAGATAGCACATGATGCACGAACGCATGTTCGATGCCTCTGGGCTTATCTGTGGTGCTGACGCCACAAGTACACTGATAAACGCCTTTTTTCTTGGTCAATGGCAAATCGGTAACATCATAAGAAATCCTTAGATATCGGCCGTATGAGTACATGGCCAGGCCAATCCGCAGCACTTCGTGCTTGCACTGTGGCTCATCATAATATAAATGAGCTGAGGTCAGCTCAAATGAGGGAGCTTTGGTATAATCCATGAAGATTGCCTTGTTTGGACTTGCTTGGAAGTATGAACTTGGTAAATATGTAATAGTAGACAGAAAGTCGTTGAAATGGTAACTGAGACTTGTCTATTTTGAATCCGTTTATAAAAAAATAGAGTTAAGTTATAGAGTTAAGTTATAACTGCCCAGGTCTGGTACAGACATACTAGTATGCTTGTTCTCTTAGCGCGTGCACTTTTTTCGTAGGCAACGCATCCCGGGAGAGACGAGTGGAACAAGAAAACCAAGTTATCAGTTACGGACAACAGTTGCAGCCGGGTCGGATATAATTCTGTTGTCAATGAACTGGACTCGCGTGGCCCGTGTTTCCTGACTCCATTAGGCCGGTAGAGCAAGCGTTCCCGTTATTATACCCACCATTTTCGTCGTTAGATGCCATGCAGTTTGGTCCCGGCGCCAGCATCATGCGCGTTCCTTATTAGCTGCTTGTACTTTATACGTATTTGTACTTGCAGCACTGTACTTCACTGCATGGAATTGATTTATATGGGATTCAATTATGGGTCACATTTTTGGCTCATTTCAAGTAATGTAATGATTTAATGAATGGCATTGCCGTGGGGATTCCGTATTCATTATCTGTTTATTGATTGTTTGAAGTTTAAATCTAATCTAATCTAATCTAATTTGCATCATTTTGTCGATGATTGATCAATAAAATCTGACAGAGTCGGTTTGAAAACGTAAAACTAAGAAGTCTGAAAATTAAACTGATGGTACAAAAAGGTAAGAAACACTGACAGAAAGCGAGGCTGGACAACAGGAAATCGCGAAAATGGGGCACCCCTAATTTATTTGAAGCTCGATCAGAATTGATATTTAGAGGGAATTAACTGACAGAGAGCGAGGCAAGACAACACTGATCGCGGAAAGGAAGCACTTGACTCTTCTCAATCAGTTAAGAATTTGAACTAGGGACAGAACCAACTTTCCATGCCTTCACCGAGACGTTCTTCGTTAAAGGATCTGCAGGTTGTACTCATAAAGATGACTGGTCAAGCAAGAAACTGCGCAGTCAGAATCCACGCACAAAGTAATTATGTGTTGTCCAGAAGCCTTCAAATGAGGCCGAAGGATCGAATTAGTTGTGTAGATCGGAAAGCGCACATAAGGAAACGGTGAAACAGTTTGCATAGTGCGCCTGAGTTTTAGTGATCAACGGCTCGCACCAACGTGGCAGACGTCTTTTCCTTTCCATCTTTATCCCTTTCCTTACTTGCTCTACGACTGCTCTACGACCAACGTCCCGGAAAACGAAAAATTCCATCTTAGGCCGGACTTTATTCGCGAATTAAAAAATCCGGGAAACTGGCCTCGCTTCAAAAACGTTCTTCTCCTTAGTCGAGCATGGAACGACATGGAAAAAGCATCTAGTCAACTCAAGATACATGTTATTTCGGCCTACGAACCTTCCAGTAATTACCCCAACAACCCTAGAACTACTACTCCTTCCCCAATTTACTCCTTCGAAGAAGTCAACATATTACTCAAACCATCGCCCGAACAATTAATAAAAGTAAGTCAAACTGT